AAAAATGAGAAATCTGAGAAATGACAAATGTGATAAATGAGAAATATATAATGAATGAGGAACGTGAGAAATGGAAAACGTAAGAAAACAGAACCGTGAGAAATGCGAAATGTGATAAACGTGAGAAATAAGAACCATGCGAAATGAAACGTGACAAATAAGAAATACACAAAGTAAGACATGTGACAAAGGAAAGATGTGGGAAGAAATGAGGGACATGGGAAATAATGAGAAATGAACAGTGGGAAATGAATAAAAAGATATGAGAAACGTGAGAAATGAGAAATGTGAGAAATAAGAAATGTGAGGAATGAGAAATGAGAAATCTGAAAAATGGGAAATGTAAAATTTGAAAAATAAGAAATGTGATGAATGAGAAATATACGAGTAATGAGGAACGTTAAAAATGGGGAACGTTATAAATGAGAACCGTGAGAATTGAAAACCGTAAGAAATGAGAACCGTGAGAAATCATAAATGTGAGAAACTTGGGAAATGAGGAATCTGAGAAATGAGAAATGTGATAAATGAGAAATATATGAAGAATGAGGAACGTGGGGAATAGAAAAGGTAAAAGAGAACCGTGAGAAATTCGAAATGTGATAAACGTGAGAAATAATAACCATGCGAAATGAAACGTGACAAATAAGAAATGCGAAAAGTAAGACATGTGACAAAGGAAAGACGTGGAAAGAAATGAGAGACGTGGGAAAAAATGGGAAATGAATAATGAAAAATGAATAGTGGGAAATGAATAATGAGAAGTGAGAAATGAATAGTAAGAAATGGAAACGTAAGAAATGAGGAAAGCGAAATTTAAGAAATACGACGTGAAGAAACAAAAACAGTGAGAAATGAGAAACGTGAGAAATGAGAAAAGCGAAATTTAAGAAATACGTCGTGAAAAAACAAGAACAGTGAGAAATGAGAAACCTGAGAAATGAGAAATATGGGGAAAGGGGTTCGTGGGAAATGGGGAACGTAAAAAATGAGAACTGCGAGAAATGTGAGAAACGTGAGAAATGAGAAGCGTAAGAAATGAGAACCGTGAAAAATAATAAATGTGAGACACTTGGGAAATAAGAAACATGAGAAATGTGAGAAACAAGAAATGTGAGAAACGAGAAATGTGAGAAATGAAAAATGTGAGAAACGAGAAATGTGAAAAACGGGAAATGTGAAAAACGAGAAATATGAGGAAAGGAGAACGCGAGAAATGGGGAACGTAAGAAATGAAAACCGTGAAAAATAAGGAATGTGATAAACTTGGGAAATAAGAAACGTGAGAAATGAGAAACGCCAGAAATGAGAAACGTGAGAAATAAAAAATGCAAGAAATGGCAGTTGTGGTAAATGAGAAATGTGGGAAATCAGAAACGAGCAATATGAGAAATGGGAAATGTGAGAAACGCGGAATGTAAGAAAAGAGAGGCGTGAGAAATGAGAAGCCTGAGAAATGAGAAGCGTGAGAAATGAGAAGCGTGAATTTTTTTAAAATTGCAATATTTCAATGGCTGATTCTGGAAAAACGGTAAGAGTTATCATAGAAAGAATGTCGGAATTAACTTCTGCGGCGCGAAGTCTACAAGAAAATTTAGTACAATTTCGAAAATCGGTCGAAATTTGCATTGGGTATACATGGCGTAAAATTTCATTTTTGAAAAAGTCGTCTAAGAATTGTCAAAAAATTCAGGGTTTCACGTGCTGATTCCAAAAATACAGCGTGTTTACGGTCACGGAGCAATATTTTCGAAATATTTGGTGTGAAACGCAAATTTTTTGTAATTTTTAAAAATTGCGATATTTCAATGGGCGATTCTGGAAAAACAGTTGGAGTTAGCAAAGGAATGAATGAGGCCGGAAGTGACTTCTGGGGCCCGAAATCCACAAGAAAATATGTTTAGTTAAATTTCGAAAATTGTCGAAACTGGATCGAAATTTGCATAAGGGGGGTGTAAAATTTCATTTTTCAAATAGTCATCTAAAAATTGTCAAAAATTCTCAAAAAATACAGAGTTATAGATTTTGACTAGCTGATTCCAAAAATATGGCGTGTTTAGGGTCATCGGGCAATATTTTCCAATTTCCAAATATTCGGTGTGAAATTCAATTTTTTTGAAAATTTTAAAAATTGCCAATACTTGCCAAGAAAAGACTGATTTTGCCAAATGATATATCCTCTACCCTTAATTTTCATGTCATTTGACAAAATCAGTTTCATCTTAGCAAGGACTAACCCCGCCCACCCGCCCTTAGAGGGATCTCATTAGCCAAAACCTCTGAGAAAATAGGGGATGGGTGGGCGGGGCTAGTACTTGCTAAGATAAGACTTGTTTTGACAAATGACATATCCTCTGACAAAATTTAAATTGTAAATTTCTATAGTAACAAATTAAATTCCGAAATCTGATTGGGCTTTTATTATTTATGTTTCATTCTACTTCAGGAGCGAGAGAAGTTCTGTCGAAACAACTGTCGACCATTTCTTTTTTCAAATTTCGTTCCAGTTTTTTATTCTCTTTATTTCAACAATTTCTCAATTTTTAAATGTTCCGATTTTATAATTTTTTGTTTTTTCAATGAGTTTCAATTTTTCGATTTGCAATTTTCAATTTTTTTTTGTTTCTTCAATTCTACGACATGTAACTCTTCCTGTTTTCGTTTTTATATTTTTCACTTTTTCAATTTTCCAACGTTTGGGTGCATGGACATTTTGCAATTTTTTGGTTTGCAATTTCACAAGTTTTCAATTTTTCTTTTTTTCAATTTTTTATTTTCTATAATTTTTTCAATTTTTCGATTTTTAATGTTTCCATTTTCAATTTTTCAATTTGTCCATATTTAATTTTTCATTTTGGGCAATTCTGGAGTGAGAAATGAGAAGCATGAGAAATAATAAATACAAGAAATGAGCAATATGAGAAAAGAGAAATGCGACAAACTGAAGAAATGAGAAGCGACAACCGTGAGAAATGAGAAATGCTTGAAAAAAGGGATACCAGAGATGAGAAATATGAAAATCATAATAAAAGAGAAACGTGCGAAATGAAATATGCGAAAAGTGAGAAATGTGCCAAGAAATGAAACATTAAATTTCGAAAAACGTTCCACATTTACGCGAATTGAGAATAAAAGAAAATGCGCTTTCTTGTAAAACCGAGAAAGTTTACATTAACCAACTCAATAACTTCCAATAAATCGTTATCTATTTTTAGTATATTTCGAAATTTAAATTTCTATAATAAACTCTCACAAACACATATTTTCGACCCAAAAATGTTCACTATTTTTAAAAACTATTTCATAACAATTTTTACCCTGAAGACAACCCAAAGCAAACACTAAACCAACACTTCTCAGCCGACGTCACCTAAGTATTGTTAACACAAAGTTTAAACAAAATCCCATTAATACCCATGTCTAAATCACTTCATCAACAAACTCCCACACAAAATCGCCGTCAAAGTTTCTACTTCTCCCATCGACAAATTTCAAAAACGCCTTTCATTATTTATCAAAACACCCAAATTAGGGGATTACTGCAAACCCGGAAAGAACACGTCCGTTCACTATGAGATGTTATCAATTAAAATAGAAAGTACGTACGCACAACCAAACAAACAATAAATACAAAAGCTTCAGTTATCTTCAAACAGCAGAATTTAATCTCGATCAAAAATCTTACATGTCCAAAAAGAATTCCGAAAGCTATAAATCACCGTGACAAACTTGCTCGAGTTCTGCTTACACATGAAACGGTTCCGGAATTTATACATCACAAAGCAACAGATTTGAAACAGAAAAGAGAAACGTCCGACAATAAAGCAGACCGAACAGCTTTGTGGATTAATTCAATACAAGTTAAAATAAACACGATCCGTTTGGAATAACAAAAAGTGCATATTGTTATTAAACATTAACAACTGATGAACAAATATCTAAACTTCACAGCGCAAATATTTTTGATTCTGGAGAAAAACGTCAAAAGTAGTCGTCAAAAAAAAAAAAGCTATGCAAACATTCGAGTTATGTGCGTTCCACCATCTAAATGCAATTTTCGACTCTACGTACACCCTGATTAAGGACACAAGTTTAAAATTACCGTCATTAAAATTGCCTCTCTGGTATTTTCCACGTAAATTTTCACACCTCGAGTGAAAATCGTTAAATAATTATCATTGTCTATTCACACTGAATTACTTAATTAAAATTTTGATTGGTCCACAGACATTAAAATAATAATTGGTTTGATTGCTTATCTCTAAAGCAGGTCGTCGCTAATTTAATTAATTAACTCTAGCGGCGAATTTTTCGCCCGTAACGTTACTCATTTGTTTTAATTAACTGATTAAATACGAATGTTAAAATAAATTTGATTTATCACAGTTTGACGATTAACAAATTTTAAACCCTTGAAACGAGGAAAAAATTTTAAACGTTTACAATGGCGCGATTAAAAGCGATAAATACAACACTCTTGACCCACAAAATTTTGTACGAAAAGATGACAGCGTAGCTGCTGAGACGCGACAGTTCATTGAAAATTTAGTTCAGCGGAAATTACAAACGTCTTCTTTGAAACGGCCATTTTTAAACAAAATACTAGATGAAACGCGTCTTGTGACAGAAAACATAAAATCAGATTGCTTTTGATCTAAATATAGTTTCAATTATCCGTTAGGTAACGACTGAAATAACTTCAGACTGTGAATGTCAAAATGAGGTAAAGTTCACGCACCAAACGCAGCGACACCGCACGGAATCTCATCAAACAAGATAACAATTTCTAACAATTATTAAAGCAACCTGTAATGCAAGTGGCGCCACCTTTTAGCTTGCGTTAGTATCAATATTACCAATTGACAAAAGATGGCAGCACTAATTCTGAGTAAAAACGCGCGCATTATGCAATATCGTGACTTTCGTATTCTTACATAAAAACCCGGATGTGTTATAATATTGCGCCAACACCATGATTCCTAACACAAATTAACACTTACCTTTAACTCTAACGCTTTAGCTTCAATTTCAGTCTTTGTATATTTGGTTCTGAAGTTGAGTGGCTGCAAACAGGACTCCATGATCTTAAACCATTTCCGTAAACACTTGATTTCATGATCGATATCTGCCAAAAAAAAAAAATGTTTTGTAGGTGTTTACAATGAAATCATTATTCAGTAACTATCTAAATGACTTATTACAAATTATTTATTAATTTGACGATTGACCCTTACAAATTAGCAAATCCTGCAAGGAAATATTTTTATCAATTGAAAAAATTTATAACCTAGTCGAAATTTCGCAGTCGTCGAACGCTGGACAGAAACGTATCCAACAAAGTACAATAACAACACTATTTTTATACAGTAGTACAAGTTTACAATATAAACGTTATATTTTAGGGCCCTTAAAACTATATTGAATATTGAACAGGGGCGTATTTGCTTTATTCTGTAACAACTTTAATTCAGGTGCTTCTAAAACTGACCTACAGTAATAAAATTCTACAACTTCTACAATTACAATTTACGCAAAGTTCTTTGTTATATAACGTCGAGGATCTTTACCAAGGAGGTCGTTCCAGCATTAGTGGACAAAATGGCGGACGCAGAATTAACAACTTTTTAAAAACTTAAAGCCAGCCATTGTCTGTTATCTTTTGTGTTTGCCTCACAAAATAATACCTCCGAATTTTTAAGATTTCAATCTCTCCTTTATCAGATAAAATAGTTGAGTTAATTAAAACTTTCTGGATTAATTTTTTTTGTTGAGCAAAATGGATTATACGTTTGCTAAATACTTGAATACAAATGTATATCAAACTAAATCCTCTGTTAAAAACTCTATATCACGAATATTTTTTACAGTGTACAAACGCATATTAAACAAAAATAACACATTTATAAACGTGCTTTACGTCACAAGAATAATTAAAGTAACAATTATTGTCATTATTATCAGCTGAAGCGTGTGTCGCGTTTTAAACTATTGATGTTTTTCTTTTTTTAAATTAGCATATGTAATGTATTGTGCGTCATTATTAAAGTCACAATTACACATCTCCACATATGGTAGCTTTAACAAACTTATTTTCTAGCAAGAGTGAAACTTGTCTTGGTCTGAAACGACAGCGTAGCTGCTGAAACGCGTCGATACTGATAAACTAACACACAAAATATACCTAAACAGCTGTCTTGTTCACAATGTCCACATTCCGAGGGTCCTAAAATGCTCAAAATGGAATCCCATTTCGAATTAAGGTGTGTTACTCGCCATCCCACTTCTTCTTGTACCTTTGGGTGCAATTGCACGAGTTGACTAGCTTGATCATTAAATAGTGCAAGTAAAGAACTTTTTTCGCGTACCACATTGACGCAATGCTGAAAAAAAAATGCTTATTGGTTAAAACAACGAAATTTGTGCCAACGTACTGCTCGTAAAGCCTTGTCTACAATATTTTCTTCTTTGCCATAAATCGTCTCCTGGACGCTATTCAACCATAAATAGAGTTCGGAGAACTGGGCGTAAAATTCCTTCAAAGACCAAGTTCCAGTGTCCACGCTTAAGTCGCAATTCGCTTCCTGAACAGTAAAAGTTAAGTTTAACGACAAGTTGTGTAAATTAAACCGAACTCACTTGGCACTTGTCGATTAGTTGGTTATCCATGATGTAGTTGTAATTTGCCTGAAGTGCTGACCAAAACTCTTCTCTGTGTTCGCTAGCTGTACTTCCCCACGAGCGTCGGACTGCGGTCGCTTTGACACGATTTTTTGTCAAACTACTGTACAAGCGAGGTTTCACTACACCCTTGTCGGGTGTAGTGTCCGTCGCTGGTAAGGAAGACAAAGAAAAGCAGGTCTTCATTGCTGAATTTTCAAAACCTGAAACAGTTCAGAAATAGTCAATATATTTGATTGCTTAGCAACTTTGTGATGACGTCATCACATTTTTCATTCATGACAAACATATATAAACCATATCTAAAATTTCACGACTGAGTAACGTTGAAGCGACAATCAATCAAATAAAATGTGTCGTAAAATTACGACACATTCACATTCCTCAAAAACTCGAGAATTCTGAATACCGCACTATCAAAGAAACCGTTTATTATACACTTCTTAACGGTGGTTAATTTTTTTAAATACCTCCAAAGCACGTTCTGTCACGATGCCAACTCAGTTCTACGTATATAAATTACAACTATGCAAAATTAAATAATAACACTTAATCTCGTATTTTATTACTTCGATTCAACACAAAATCCGTGCAACCTGAAACAAAAACGCTATTTATACCGACCATAGTGACTCTAACTTTCATGATTTAATTGGAAAAACGTGATCGAAGTTGGCTATGATTAATTACGCGGACGATTTGATTAATTTTCGAAAAAAGAGAGAATACTGCTTTTAACAAAACCAATTTTTATTGGATGACAGCTTCCTTCTATTTTTAGTGACCATAAAATAGTAAAATGCATAATTTATTTCACACCTGTTCAAAAATTTTCAAGCGGGATAAACAGATGGCGCTGTTAAAAATACACAACAATTAAATATGTTTATTATTATTTTTAGAAAAAACTTGTATACTTTTACTTCGCTCAACTTAATGGTACCCTAGTTGTATTAATTAATGCAAAATACACACAAAATGTTAGAAAATTTCTTTCTTGGTGTATAATCATATATGAAAATACCAAGTACGTGATAGGGTAATTCCGTTGGTGTGTTTTGTTAAATTAGCACTTAAGTAATAATAATAATAGTAGTGTACTTACTTGTTCCGACGGGCATGCTTGCGGCCGTAATCGACTTAGAGGTTACCACTTTTGCGTTCTGCAACAAAATGGAAAAGAATCAGTTCGCACCTATTACTTGTACTCGATAACAATGTAATCAATGAATAGGTGAAAACGTCTCCATGTGCATACATTATAGTGATCACCGTGTGTTCTAATTCCACACTAACACAGAAGAGAAAAAATCGCCATTAATCCTATCGTACATTCACATCGGCAGCGAGTAATACCGACAATGAGATCCATCTTTGTCAAAGAGAATTATAAATGGAAGAGTTCGTGCATTACGTCTGAACAAGTGTAACCTGTCTCGCCTAATTTTATCTCAATTGGTCGACAAGCATAGACACAGAAAAACGATACATGAAATTAAAGGGAGGACGCTGGTAAAAAGTGACAACTTTCCGTAGTGCGAGAGAAGTGAGCCGGCTTGAGCTATTTTGCATCCCTCCACTTGAATTACAAAATGTCGTTTTTCAACACTAATTTTAGCTTCTTCCTCGAAGAAATACGTTGCTGGAATATTTGGAATTTCAGAATGAAGAAACGTATTAGCTACTTACATATTACACAGTTAATAACGGTGAAGTCCATGGACTTTTATATAAAATACAAAGTACGATAATTGACGAGGTACTAAACACACCTATTAAACGCAACCTGTTTCTATTACCTACCTCTGTTGGGTCATATCATTTTTCATAACGCGGCCGCACGTTAACGTTCTTCGACTTATCTCTTGCGTATTTGGACGTTATGATTTTTCAACCTTGTTGCGTAATCAAAGTTTTATTTATATTCTTGTCGAATAAATGAGTTTACGAAACAAAACATCACTCCGATAATGAACGAAACGAAGATCCGCAAATAGAGAGTAACTCTACTACAAATAACATTACCAAATGTGTGTTTTACAGTGTAAACAGTAATTAGGCAACGTGTTAATCTAAAGTGGACAAACGGATTAATTTCCCGACTACGTCTTCAAAAAAGCATCTGAAAGCAACACATATAATTCGTTGTTGTTTTATTTCTCAGTTTGCGTAAAAATGGCGCAATGTCACTTTTCCCGACTTAATGAGCTTCGACTATTTGCTCGTACTATCGATTCCCGTTTAGAAAAAGGAACGACTTAATTATCCGCCGCAGTTTGATCGATAAATTAATGTTCCTAGACGCGATAAGTATTATTTTAAGACGGATTCTCGAGGAGTTACTTGCCTCGGTGGATTCGAACACATAATTAGAATTTAAAAAGGATAAATAAAACGGATCTGAAGTTATTATTTTTAGAATAGATCATTACAGGATGTGGACCTACTCGTCATTATGTGATCGTCGACAGAAGCGTCTGAACTGTTTATACTCGATCATATTTTTAGCGCCGGTTTTGATTCATCACGTAATAGTGAAATTTTATAGCCAAATAGGTAAAAGTAACAAACTTGATGAATATTCCAATCAATTTCGCACTTTACATTTAATTATTAGCAACTTCCGCTAGCCGACTACACTGAATACTAATTGCTACTTAAGTCGAGGAGGCAACGATCTCGGCTCTTCGGACCGTATTTTTAGAAGAAACGTCTAAAAAATACTTAAAATAAGTCTTCTCAGTGTCATAAGTGTGACATACATAACCAAACATAGAAAACAATCACTGAAATGTACGCGTGGCCTTTACACAAGGCAATTCGAAGATCCTACGCCTCAGTTACTTTTATTACACTAATTGGCAAAATTTTCAAAATATAAAAACGGATGTTTATTTATATTTAGACAAAGATGGAGAGTTCTTCACGCTGAAGGTTAACCTCGACAGATTATGGTAATGTTAATCGAATGGTCGTCTAAATTCTTTGCATAAAAAATGACACCTCATAGGTCGAATTACGAACATTCCACATTTTCAACATTTCGATAATCTACGAATTTTTTTTTAATCTAGAACGATTTGCGAAATATTGATTTTTATCTTTAATAATAATAATAACACAATTTGCCTTTCTGTCCACCAAATATGGTGTTTGTTTCTAATAATATATAATATTTCACACTGCTCTACTCAAAATGTTACAAAATTTTGCAAAAACGAGAGACCTTTCGTGGTTAGGGCTACAAATATGCACCGCTGTGGTTAGATTGTTAATTATTTTTCTTCGCTCTGTCTCACTTTTCATTGAACTTTCCGCTCTCCGTCCTCATTCATTAATTCATTACTTCTATCTGGCTTTACATTAAAGTTCTATTGCGTTTTGTGTGAAATAAATACTCATTTTTCGATTTTCCCTTTCGATTCTTCGTTTGTAAATCTTTCGTTGCACTTTATTCAACTTATCATTACTTTTCCCTCCACTCAAGTGACATTTTTTTTTCATACACTTCCTCCATTTTCTGGATTAAAATGTCACCCGTGCTTTCTTTACACGCAACAATGAAGCCGCTACGAACTTTCTTTTCTTCTTGTTAAGTGTTATCTACCATTTATCTTTTAAAAGCTTAAATCTTAAAACACTTTTTTCTGTTAGTCTGTAAAACCGCTCAATTGATCTGGAAAGCCTATACGAACACTTTTTGTTTTTAATGTTGTTTTGCTTCTCTCGACATCCTTGGACTTTAACATCCTTTTTGTGTTTGTTTTTGCCTTGTGTCTTAACCTATTTCTTTTTTTCTTGATTATTCCATAAAATTTTCTGCCAGGTTTACCATGCTTTCACATTCGCCTTCCTCTTATCTGTTGATTAATCAATGAACCTTGCAAATTCACTGACTTATTATGTTAATACCTGTGGTGTTCTTTGTTGTATAACTTCGCATTTTTGGTGCTTCTCCCCTAAAAAATGTGTACTTCACAACATCAAACAGCATACCCACGCTAACCAAGTGAACTAGTTTTGTCAACTAAACTAAAACTAGTTTTGACCATAATGATTATCATATTTAACTAGAAGATTTAGAAGTTTTTCCAGCAAGTTGCGTACTACATTTTCGAAAATCCAACGGTACTAAAATTCTAGTCAATCTTACCGTGGGACCCTGACATGGGTGGACCAGAATTTATAATTCTTTAACTCGAAAATGCGTTGGCACTTGCTTGCTAGTTTTATCATATCAGCCATGGTCCTATGGAGCGAGGATGTAGACACAATGTATGGAGTCATAGTCACACCCAATCGTTAATTTTCGCTTAATTAAGAACGACTCGACGTTGGGTACTGATGTCTTACGAGACTTAACTATAACGAACGCGATTCCAGTAGTTTCGTCTTTGAAGTACCCCTCGAGGTTTAACTAGCGGTGTCCCTCTGCTGCACTTCAGAGATACTTGAAGCAAATCTTAGCCCCAGTAGGGTTTCGATTATAGTCGATCGCATTGGGACTCGAAGAAGTACGAAAGGAACGCGGTCCAGTATCATCATGTCCGAAGTACCCTTCAAGGTTTTACTAGCGATGTCCCTCTGCTGAATTTTCGTTACAAACGTGGTAGTTTTAGTGAAGTGAGAGTTTTTAAAAATCAAAAAAAATGTCACGTTTGACTTTTGCAATTCGCTGCCTACAAAAGAATTAGACGACTCGTTGCAACATTAACTCTATAAAATTCGTAGGTGTGGGCGAGATCGGCGACAAGGGTAACAAGCGTGTGTTGATTCAGAGCGTCAAATCCAGGACTATCGAGAACATTTATTGAATTTCACAGTTAAGCCTGTTCACTTGTCGACGTTCACCTACTTAATTAGAAATTGTCTCCAAATTTGGAAGCGACTAATCGCAACGAAAGCGAATTGAAGTAAACAATTCCACTATTTTTAAACTTTAGCTTGTTTTTGTCGGATTTAAATAACGGTACTTGGTAATGATATGTTAATTCGAAGCTAATAATACGCCGCGTAACTAAATTGCTTGGTGAGAAATAACGACGATAATAAGAGAAAAAATGATGCGATTAAAATGATACGTGCCGTAACTTCGTAATTTTACGGTTTATTGTTGCGGCGATAAGGCTTTATAACTACAAAGTTGGTACTGTGGGCAAATGACTTGTTTGTAAACACACCCACCTCAAATATTTTATAATTCCCAAAAAACATACGCGAGAAGAATCTCACGAATGTTTGTCGTGTCAACACGGTGATTACACCTGGGTACCATTTTCGGGAATTCGGTACTACAAGAGTACGGTTTTGCGTATCACGTGTAACTGACCTCGTATATCATCGACAAAGGAAGGTTAACTGCTAATTTATAACCCCCGGGAGTTGACAATAATTAAACGTTTTATTTTTATTGTCAAGTCTAATTCCACGTTTCGAGTAGTACCATTAAATTAAAACTGTTAGCAAACACACCCATCATAACAAACCTGTGGAGGTGTATTATTACACATATTAACCCACACAAAAATCGTATAATAATGAACTCACTTAGTATATGGAGGTTAGAACCGTGTTTATTAAAAAAGAACATATGGTACTGTCACGATAATTGACAGGATTCAATCACAAACTTCACAGATCAACTGATAAAGAACCACCGATATTCGCTTCGATTCCTCTTTATTACATCTGCATCTCCTTTTCGGTTCACTTACGCACTTTGCGTACTTATACACATAAATATTCCGTGGACATTACGGTAATTAAAGAGACCCCACGCCGTATCGTCACCACTAAAAATAAGTACGACTATCGCAAAAACGGTAAGCGATAATGCAAAAGTCGTACTTTTTCGCATCGAAAACTTTATGCGAAGGCGGAAACTAGGAAAGATGTCAACAACCACCTGAAATATTTAATCTTGCCGTAACAGCGTTATCGAATTATACAGTTTCTCGCTCATTTACGTGACAGCCGATAAGCATCAGGCGGATGTTTAGCATACATTTGAAAACATTGTACTCCTCACCTGTCGTATTTAATGCTTTAATGAAAAACGATTTACAACGGGAAATTTTTCACTTTTGGCTTCATTCGAAAATTATAAAACTTGATACGTTCCGTTAGGCGTAGGCATTATCGAGAAATGTGAGAATTTTAACAT